TATTAACAAAGTTTTTAGAAATCCATTCACGAAAAATATTCAGTTGCTTTTTGGGAAACTTTGGGAATATATTTTTGTTTTTTCTCTTCAAAATTGTAAATGCCAGAAATATAATATTTTTCCTGTTATACATTTGAGTAACTTTAAAATTTGAAAAATAAAAATGTGACGTGAACAATATACAAATTGTAACTACAATAATATTTTTTTAAACTACTGCAACTAACAACTGAGAGCAGTATTTACGGTAAACTTAATTTCGGAAAAAATGGATTTTTGACCCGCATCTACGATTCTAACATAAAACAAAATTAACCACAATGTACTTCCTGCACATTACAATTATTGTTAGCTATAATTTTTGTACTAATGGAAATACATTCTTATTTGTATCATTTAAATCTAAAACAAGGAAGTGTTTAAAGGATGTACCTGTGATTCAGTTCCTTCTCGAACCCTCGTGACCATTGCAAAATCGGGACGATCAATCATGTTGAACAGTTCTTCTGAAAGTTTTACTGCGGCAGCGTTTACTAGTCTTGTAGATTTTTTGCCTATCCTACAAAAGACGATTAAATATTATAAACAAATACAAATATTTGCATACATGTATGAGAATATGGTTCCCTTAAATTATATTTTAAGGTAATAAACTCACGAAAACGTTATTAAATATAAATATCATAAAATTTTGTATACTTCTTATTTATACCACACACAGTACAATTTAAAGTGCGTCAACGGTACAGATTAGAGATATAGACTTAAACATGCCATTTTTTTTAACATGGTGTTTTATAAAGCGACTAATTAAAAAATGACAGACACTTATAATTTGCCAACATTCTAGAAAACGAATATCTATGCAATTTTTTATATATGATTAATAACTTAATAATGAAACGTAATTAGTCACAATAATTAAAATAATTTATCATACTCAGTTGCTTAATACTTATTACCAGTGCCTGAAGATGATTGAAATTGATGGGCGAAAACAGTAAAAAAGTAATGAGCTGGTCGATCATTGCCAAAATTAAATTTGAATGATTAAATGAAATTGAGGAATGTTTTAACAGACATTTAATGCGAGTGGAGATATTAAATACTTAATATCAGTAATTAATGTTATGTGTTTAAATGAATATAAATAGATATCAAAAAATGTAAATTAAATCTAAAGTACATTTTTTACACTTACCATACAAAAACATCAACATAGCAGTCTAAAATATACACATTTTTGCTGTTGAGAAGATTTTGTGTAAGTTTTCCATGAGGTATTTCCACTTGAGGTAACTCTAAATAGCCCATTCCTAAT